AAGAGCGGTGGAAAGTCTTCATAAATTGCTCAAGATTCTTAAATCTAGTTTTCTTTCCCCCAGGAATTATTTGCATCTCTATTTTGGCCAAATTCCACATTTGATCACAAAGTATATCCCTATGCAGTTACAGCTAGGTTGTCCCAACTGCTGATGGGAATATGCAAGACGATAGTTGTTATGAGAAGGGAGAGGCTGGATTTCTGGAAGGGTCTTTGTTACCTCGGGCTTCACAAGGTGAGCTGACCTTTAGAGGAAAGAATTTGTGGAGGAATTACTGGTAATACACTAGCCAACTTTCCTGTCTTTCTGCTGCCATTGCTGTATTGCCCTCCTTAGAACAGCAAGACATCAAGACTTACAAACTGTGCACAAGGTATGTTACTGTAATGGGAAAGTGAATCAGTTGCAGGTATGTTCATGTATATTTGATGTACAAGAGGAAAGAGGGTAAAAGACAAAAGAAAGACTTGTTTTAGGATATTACGATATTGAAAGTATTTGTATGCTACTTCTAGATACCAATGGTCTCCTTAATATCTAGGAGTGTCAGCTAAGCACAGTTGTTATGCTGTGCCTTTTGCCACGCTACCCATCGCTTGTAACAGGCATTGTGCTTTGCCTGTTGCTGAGGCTGAAGGTGGTACTGGGAGTGTACCTTCTGACTGCGGAATGTGGAGACTGGCTGAGCAGTCACAGCTGATTGTGTGAAAGGAGGGAAGGCTTTGTATGAAGAAGCGTGACAAATTAAGCCATCTGTGTTTTATTTGAAGGGCTTCGGTTCAAATCCTGTTTGGAGTAACTCTTTATTATTTTAAATGGGTCATTAACTGCTTAACACTTAATAGGTATCCACGAGCAATGTTAGGACTAATGAAAGCACGTAAGTAATGTATTTGATCCGGAACACTATTATACAGCAACATGGGATTGTTTTTAAACTTTCTATACAGGCAGTGCTTCCTTAAGGCAAAGAAAGAATTTGACATTAGTGATGCAGGGGAAACCATCTTGTAATCAAAATACCCCAGCTCCTATAAATGTAAACCAGAGCTTAACAATAGCAAATGATACCCATCCATCTTCCCAGTGTACGGTATAAACATTGTGTGCCGTTAAGTACTGACTAACATTTTCTCAGGCATGTCTGCAGGTTTAAATAGCTGGGGGTCTTCAGTCATACTGACAGCTTCAGAGGCAAAGAAACTTGCTACTGCCAGGTGTACAGGCTAATAGACCTGACTTCCCTTGTAGCTTTAGTCCCTATATTCTTCCCAGTTGCTATGAATTAATTTATTTTTAAATTCTAAGTTTTTAAACTCTTACAGCGAGCAGCAGGTAGGGTTGTGGTCTGTGTTCCTTCAGTGACCAGCACATGTTGATTTAAAAAAGAGAGAGTTTTGTGACTGAAGATAGCTTTCTGCCGATTCAGCAGAGCTCAAAGAGGCCTCTGGATAGATGTAGTCAACCACAGCAACGAAAGGTGAGCTGTGACTTTTGCATCCGTGCTTTGAGAGTCTGTAGGGTGTAATTGTTGCTTTCTGTATAATGAGGTTATGGTTTCACAGTGGATGCAAAGCAAGTCCCTCCTTTCAGCAGGCCGTGCCAACCAACCCATAGCTCATGTTTTTCTGGAATGGGAAGGGAAGGAAAAGCTGGGTGCTTGAGGTAGGAGTAGGAAGAAGGACTAACCTTCTTGCCCAAAAATCAGCACCAACCCATCAGTTTTCCTTTTTTAAAAAAATTTTATGTTTTTCCTTTTTGCATTTGCCAGCAAGATTTCAGCCAGTCCTGACTTACTTACAAACAATTGGGAGTGGGACTTAAGATAGTACAAGAAAGACATGAGTTAGACCCTAATCAGCTGCTTGTCAGAGGGTCTGGCATGCTGTTTCTAGGAGATGCAGAGCTGAAAATCATGCTTGTTTGCTCTCAGAGCATCCCAACTGTCTGTAAAGGTTTTAGCTGTATTTATGAAATAATACATTAAAAAGGAGTTATTTGATCTCAACTACTTTGGGAAAGGTCTTGCTGTGTATAAGCCTGACCATGCCTTTGAATTTTTGGCTGGCTTGCTTTATTCTCAAGTGTTTGAGGAATGATTGATTGTTTTGGAAGCAAACTAAAAAGATAGATTTGAAGCTGTGAGCTCTCCAGGTCTAAGGAGCATTACAAGAGTAGGCATGTTTTAAGAGTACACACTGGAGTGCTTCAGCAGCTAAGTACAGGCAGCTGCTCCTTGGACAACTTTGTTTTCATAGTTCACAGAGCTCAGATGTAGGAGAGGCTGATTTATATGCCGTCTCCAGACATGTTTCCATACATGTGGTCAGAAGGGGGAGAAAGAACCTGCCTAATGCAGTAAAGATGCTAGCTTAATTCACTGAGGAAGAGTGTAATTCAAGCAAGCGTTTTTTCCAGAATATAATTCAGGAAAAGCACAACTGTATATTGGATAGTGGCTGCAATCTACAGACTTTTAGAAATTATACTGCCTTCCCTTGTTTTTTTTTACCAGTGTGTTTGCGCCCTACATAAATAATGATCCGATTTTCTAACGCAGATTGTGACTACAGTGCTAGTTTGATTCCATTAGCCACAAAAGTATAAAACTTTTCAGCACTTTTCTGGGTTTTTTTTGTTGGTTTTTGTTTGTTTGTTTGTTTGTTTTTGGTTTTTTTGGCATGCTAATCATCAGTTTTTACTTTCAAAGTAGTGTCACGATGTATTGTATTTTCTGGTACAGAAGGAAGTCCAGTGACCAGCTGGAATCCAATGGGGTCTCCATGAAGCTTGTTTGTCTGTCTTGTCATTGTTCTGCACAGCAGTGACCCGTTCATTCCCTCATAACTGGATGACTAAATAGCTCACAAAACCAAATATAGGAATACCTTTATTATCTTTAAACAATCTAATTATATTACAATTTATCCACCAATATGCAAAATTAGAAGTATTAAACGATCTCCATAAAATATTCAGGAATGAAGTCTGTGTGTGTGTATATACATATATTTTAAATAGTGTTATTTAAACAATGACTAAATTATTAAATCACTGTATGAAATGTTGGTAATGGATGGGCTTATTTCACAGTCAGAAAAGTACAATGCAGCATCTGTATTTTCAGTACACAAGAGACACAGCTTTTAGAAATACCTCAGGAGGAAAACATTGCAGTTACTACGTTCTTATTTACTGTGCATTTGGTCACATCGCGTATGCATAGAAGTTATTAACTATAAAGCATATGTATCCACTCCAAATGATGATTAGATTTTATTCCAGTTTTTGTCTCCAATTCTGGCCATGTTTAGGAATCCCCAGACAAAGTTCATGCCCATAAGTACACAGAAAAGAGGAGAAAAGTAACACCCATAGTTGAAAACCAAATAAGCTTTTTTTTTTTTTCTTTTTAAATAAAACTGCCATAACCAGCTTTGGTTTTACAAAGTAATCTAACTGTGCCCAGAGACATTGATTTCTTGTCTAGAACAACCTGTAAAACTTCTGAAAAATAGGACACTTGGAGAGCTCATTTGTCTTGATGTGTTTAACATGTAACTCTCATGCGATGGCATCATTAACTGTTTATGTCATTGGTGCCTGCGGGCCTGTACTTTTCCATTAACTTGAAAAAAAAATGATCTCACTTTGTGTAGCACAAATATATTTGAAAAGTTATGTTTTTAAATATTTCTGGTTTTATATGGTCAAAGATGATAAGCATAAAATTAATTAGGGCTTAAGTGACCATGTACTATGTGGTGGTGGCAGATCCAGAAGTAAGCGAGACCCTGCAACGCTTCACTTAGCACCTGCACATCTATGGTACATAGATCTTACAGATTTTTTTGGTAGATTTTTTTTTTTAAGACGACTAAGCTCTGTTTCTTAAATTTTCAAACTGCATGTTTCTGGCTTCCAGCTAATGACCAGACAACGCACAGTGTCACACATATATACATTGCAAGTCCTTCTGAAAATTTTATGGTGGATAAAATAAAGTTTCTGTATACAGACAGTTTTAAAAATAAATTCATGTTGTAGTTCATGTTTTGTTCTCCAAACCACACAAAGGCACTAGTTGCACTAGTTTACATTAAGGACTAATGTCCTGCAAAACTTCAGTCAAATAAAGGAAGCTATTTTAAGGTTAAAGTGGTGCTAAAACCCAGCTGTCACTAGTAACTT